CAATCACCCCTCGGCACGCCCGAGAAGTACACCGCTTGTTCCTGTGAATGGATCTTTCCATAAGTTAATCAGTTCACTGCTCGGCAATGGTACAGGATAAAAAAGGATCAGGAACACACAGTTGAGATGTTTACCTAAAGAGGTGGGTATGTGCAGTTAAAGGGTCTCATCTGCCCTGATACATAGAATGAGGCAAACAGAGTGAATAGCTCTGTGGCTCGCTCTAGCACATTGTCCCTCGACAGCATCTCTGTCCTCCCCCGGGTGCCGTCGGTGTCCTCCTTGAAGTCAAAGCCTGCGTGGGCCCTCTCCTTGCAGGGCTAGACATGGCACACTATGAAGCTCGCCGCCACCAGTCTGCCATTCATCTTTACGCCCTTTATTAGGCTGAGGAGCCCCCTCACCTGATCCATATCAGCACTGCTTGGCCTCTCCAACCAACTTTTTTGGCTCTCCAGGATGTGGTCAGTGTCACAGCGGATGGTAGGATGGCTCTGTTTCATGTAGAACCACCTGGCGTTCTACCCCTTCAGCGACGTGTTTAGCGGCATAGTGAGGTACTCGCCCGCCATTCCATCGCGTAGTTGAAGATACACGCCGCCAACCAACTTGGAACCACCGCCGCCCTTCTTCAGCCAGAAGAGGTGACAGAAGATGTTGAAGTGGGGAAGAATCCTGAGATACGCCTCACATAAATGAATGAAAATCAAAATGTGCAATATAGTGTTTGGGTGGAGGTTACATAGACTGACTCTCCAGAACTCCAATAGATCCCTCAAGAAAGGATGAACAGGAAATCCTAACCTGCGCCAGAAGTAATCCTCAAATACTACAGCTTCGCTAGTTTGAGGCATTGGGTAGGGCTCACCGCTGGCCGGCCACCATCCGGCGGTGATGCGGTCAAGAAGAACACCCGCCTCCACCATCCTGTTGAGCTCCACCTCCCCCGTGCGCGATGGCACCCACTCTTCATCATGGCTGACTTCGGCGCTCGCCTTCTTCGGGTTCTAGCTCCCTTCTTCGGCGCCATCTCTCAGATTTGGTTTGGGATTGGCACCGGAAACGCGTGTGAGTATGAATCTAGAAGCGCGAGGGCTGAGGAGGAAGATGAAATGGCAAAGTGGCAAAGGTGGGAGCACGGGGTGCGGTGGCACGGTTATAAAGCACTTCCCCCACCTTTCGCATTCGAGGTTTTTGGGAAACCGCTCCTCGATTTGCGCCTCTCCGCATTCTCTGAAATAGCGTGGTTTGTCGTTACCTAGGCTTTCGCGCAACTAGAGCCCGTATCGCCCATTTATCACCACAAGTTGTTACTGCTCACCGAATATTCACCGACTTCTCCGCCATCTGTTATGGCTCAGTAATTACTACTGTACAACCGTTACTCTAGTTTTTTCTCCACAATTTGTTTTCTCCAATATTTCCACTTGTGGCTCGGGGACTACGTCATCAATAAGACTTGGTTCCTCACCGTACTGGGGACTTTCTTCTGTTGACTATTTCTGACCCTGGCACCACGTGACCACGTCATCTACTGTCAGGCTCGGGGACTAAGTGGGCACACTTCACCTTGCGGTGAATGTGTTTTTCTCATTTTGGGTCTACACCTAGGGACTGGCTACCTATTCGGCTGATCTTATGCTTTTCTTTCACTTTGGACCCTAGCACCACGTGACTGTGTCACCTACTATCAGGCTCGGGGACTAAGTGGGCACACTTCACCTCGCGGTGAGTGTGTTTGCTTTAATCTGGAAGACTCTGCGCCACCCAAAGCTGAAGAAGACTATCTCCCTTTCTCATGGTCGAACTCTAAGTGGGCAAACTTGATCCACTGCAAGGAAATTTTCGATTTTGAACTTGAGCTCCTTACATCCTTATGGCAAGCCTTACTTGGGACATGTTGCTCGGCGACGGCTCAAACTGCTCGGCGATGGTTCATAGCTGCTCGGTGATGGTTCGCACTGCTCGGCGACGGTTCACAACTGCTCGGCAACTCATCACGGTGGTCGGACCATGACTTCGGCTGCTCGATTTTGTTCACACCTGCTCGAACAAGCTCAAGATGGCGTTGCACAACGGATACAAGGCGCTCGGGGACTAGCTGTGGGGGGTACGACCCCAGATACCCATGACAGACCACATGGGATGTGCCCCAGGGGTGGCCCAGCCCACAAGACGAAGCCTTGCAGGGCACGGCGCTGCTCGGCGCGTCCCGCAAGACACCGGGAAGATATCCTGAAGATACTACGAGATCTATTAGGATATGTATGATCCCATGATTCCTGTAATCTGTTATTACTTTTTGGTTATCTCCTAGATCTAACCGACCTGTAACCCTGCCCCCGGACTATATAAGGCGGGCAGGGACCCCCTCCAAACACACGCAATATCATACGATAGCCAATACAATCCAACAGACCACAGGAGTACGGTATTACGTCATACTGATGGCCTGAACCTATCTAACTCGTGTGTCTCTGTTGCTTTCTTGTTATGGATTACACGCATCTCTACCGATCAATCTACCTTCGTGGGATACCCCTCGGAGGACTGCCGATGATATTCTGTGGACACTCGGCCTGGCCCAGCACTGCCCGCTCGGCCAGCCACCGGCCCAGCAGCAGGAGGCCTAGGCGGGGGTGGGGTGCGCGCGTGTGGCCTAATGTGACGTGGGCGTGAGCGGCCCAAACGGGGTAGGTGGCGGCCTAGCAACAACCCAAGGCGGGAAGCCCACGCGCGCGTCGGTGATTTTGCATAAGAGTACCCGATCTATCCCTTTATTACTCGGCACTATTGCAATAGAGACATGTTTCATATATAAGCCCTAAAAAGAACTCGTCTTCACGACCGGGAAGTCCCTGGCGCTCTTGCGATCGCCGGCGCGGCCCTGACCAGCATAGAGCGAGTACGCCGACTAACTGGGGACCCCTTCGGCGCACCTAAGGGGCCGATGGGCACCTACTGATCAAACGACGATGGTTGGGCAATGGTGGGATGATGGGGGGGTGCCCTAGATTATGCTGCAGCGGTAGGCGGCGGTTCACGGTGATGGCGTGGCCATTTCGGTGAACGAAAAGACTAGAGAAGGGAAGAAAGAGGTGCGCGAGCACTAGTGGCTCACCGGAGACCAAGCTGCGGTGGCGGTTGAGGCAGAGGCGTGCCGAGGTGGCCTGGCCACATGCGATCGATCGAGCAGCTGCGCACCGTGACTGACACCGACACGCCAGCTCCCAACCCACGTTGTCCCTGGCCAAACAGAGGTGAGCACCAGCGGTAGGGAGTCAAATCAGGTATGGACATGCCATCAATTGCATCGTTAAACTTCGGATGGAGACTTACCCCCAACTCCTAGCCGCGGCGGCGCCCAAGGCCGGCGGTGAGTGGAAACCAAAATTGGCCGTTGATGGACCGCGACTGAGCTAGATAGGAAAAGGAGCGTCTAGCTAACCTCTTAGACTACCCGCAGGTGCGAGGAATTAGACTACGAAGCCCAGAGCTAGGTAAATTGGAAGCGGAAAGGGAAGCTCTAGCCATAGCCGTGGAGCGTGCACCTGCACAAGAGCGAGCGGCTTAAGATGGGGCAGCTCCATGAGAAAGCGGTAGCAAGAACACGTGCGCACAGTGATGGCCCACGGAAATTGGCGCGACGCGCTTGAATGGAGCAGTAAAAATCCGAGCGACTCATGGAGTCGGCTAGGGGAGCAGGGCGAGGTAGTGGAGCATCGTTTCACCACTGTACCCGGGGCCAACGATCATCATGGAAGCAGTGGCATATGCCGAGGCACGGCGCGGTAGATAGGATGACGGGTGGAGCGAGTGCCACGTCGGTCACACGATGGCTACCATGGCAGTGACAGGGCCGCGCATGGCCTAGTCGGCAGTGCACATGCGATGACCATGCAGCGGCAGCCCTGCGGCTCAGTCCGGCCCGTGGGGGCGACAGTGGCCAGCCCCTAACCCACGCGTAGCCAGCGGCCTGCAAGGCCAACCACGGGCACGACGGTGGCCAAGACTGGCCGGTAACGACAGCGCACGCACGCGGTGACCGCGGACACGGCTGCGTCATGGAGCGGTGATGTGCATGGATTTAAAAGCAAAACAAAAGCCACTGATCAACTCGACTCAGGTTCAACCGGTTCCACTAACCTAAAGTTGGTACTAACACCTAACTGGCGAAGCAACTCTTACGACCAAAGGATAATCGGAGAGGAAGTTAGAGCGACGTCAAGATAGGTTTGTCACGCTGAATGACAGTCCACGAACAGAGCGTCAACGACATAGCTACAACGTGTTTCGACTAAATTTGGGCAAATTATGTGACTCCATGACAACTCCAACCCAACCGTGGACTTCACCACGCTAAAGTACTCACTTAGATGCAACCAACACTATGAAAACATAGACCTAGTGTTTAAGAATTTTAATCAAAATTTCAATGCCAAAACGGCATCGTCGTTAGGTTTCAAGACTTAAATCGTTTAGTTCTAGAAGCTGAAATTACATTCCACTTTCAATTCTTGAGCTATCAAAAATACCATGGAACAACATCTATTCACCAAATCAACAGTTGCATTTTCATCTACTAAACTCGCACTTCAAATTTTATATAAGTACCAATTACAAGTTATATTTTATTTTTTTTATAAAAATTGTTTTTCATGCTTAATCAAATAAACAAGCCATTCGCTATTTATTTGCTATCAGGCATTTTTAAGCACTTTCTTCGTACTTTTCCAAAACAAGCCCTAAACAACTTTTGTCCACAGGATTATTTAAAAGTTGTTAAGCACCGAGACAAATTGACTAGCGACACTTATTGGTTTGTTTTATTCACGAAAACGAGTCACACAAGATTCGTTTATAATTCCATGTGTGCTTTAAATTTTTAAACCCGAAAACTTGTTTTGCTAATTTCTCTTAGGCATTAACCTAGGTGCTAAGCAAGCTCATAACACCAGAGGTGTTACACAGCCCCAGCGGCGGCATTGCCGTTGGCGACGATGCCGGCGGCTCTAGCCCCAACAGTCCCAAGAGGGGAAGCTGAGGTCGATGAAGTCGCCGCGCCGGGGTCTCCGGCCGGGGTTATGACTCAGCCGGTGCCATTGGCGCCGGAGGTGGTGATCGACGTCTCCGACGAGGACGAGTCGGAAGACTCAGCCCCGCTGGTGGATCCTGTTGCCGTCGCTTTGGCCTCCACCGCCGCGCCTACATCCGTTGCCTCCACCGCCCTCGATGTCCCTGGCCCCTCTGCTCCTTGCGCCGTTGGCTCACCGGACACGAGCCGTGACGAGGAGATAGCGAGAAAGCTCTTTGTTGAGCTGAACCGTGAGGCCATCAGCATCCCAGGAGACGGCGGCCTGGTGATCCTCAGCAGCGACAGTGAAGAAGAGGCCGCCGAGGAGGACGCCGGCGAGGAGGAGGACGAGCCCATGGACAGTGGGTCGCCGTCGAGGAGCTAGGCTGCTCCCATCCCGTCAGCCAGCCCGCTGAGGAGCTTGGAGACAAGCGGCGGAAGTGCCTGATCCTGCTATCTTATGTTAGGGTCCTAGTTTAATCATTTGTAAATCCACCTTAGCGAATTATATCCAAGAAATGACTAGTTCCCGATTATTATCTTACTCTTTTATCCATATTTTTTTAAATCGTTCCATGCTCGAGTCGCCGCGATCAGAGCCACGACACGCTTTACAGGTGGACACAATCTGAAATCGGGATAATTTTAGCTGCGTCGTCCCGGTTACTGAGCTGATTCATAGCCCCGAGCTACAGGCTAGTCGGGTTAGAACTTTGGGTATAAAATGCTTATAAATTATTCATAGAGTACTAAATCGCTAATTCTATAAGGAAAAGTGAGAGTTTGCCTCGTGAATAATTTATATTGCGGCTGTCAAACCTTATTTAACACTTGAACAGACTGACAAAGCTGAGCCATTTAATTTATGGTGAGGGAAAGGAAAAAATGGAAACATTTACCCGTCCCTGAGATACTTTAAAACTATTTTGTTAGTCTTGCACAATTCTTCTTGCCTTTGCTATTTAAATCCTTCATTATGCAAACATTTGGACTTATAGTGTCTAAACTCGAGCGGTTTGTGTAGTATGAATTGATGCCGTTTGCATGACTTAGGTTTAGCATAATTGAGAATTGTTGCAGACTAGTGAATAGTAGTATGATAGCCCCCGACTCTTTATTTGGATATGTATGAGTTATCCGAATAAAGAGTGGCAAACTAGTCGAAGAAAACATTAGAGTTGGACAGCCCCAGCCTGGGCCCCCGAGCATATATGCTCGGTAAAGCTACTACTAACGGAGAAATAAAATTAAACAATAAATGAAACACTTATCTGGGTTGTATGCTGAGGAACAGAACGCCGAAAACGCATTTTATTATGCATAAAATCGTTGTAGCGGATCCATGTTCCACGTATTCAGGAGCATATCCCCGTCTATCTCTGCTAGTCGGTATGTGCCTGGTCGGGCTATATCCACTACAATGTATGGACCCTGTCATGGGGGTGTTAACTTAGTTTTATCCTTTGTGCGTTGGTCTTGTTTGAGTACCAGATCGCCGATGTTAAGCGCCCGGCCGCGTACACGCTGGCTATGACATGGTCACAAAGTTTCTGGGTTGATGGGGCCGAGGATATGGGGTCGTGGTATGTGGTACGCTACTCGTGAGAAATTTTTACACTTTGGGTCGAAAATAAACCCGGGTCAGGGTCGATGAACCCGGGTCGACGGTCGAAGGTGGTGAACCTGTTTTATGTGACTATGGCTATGATATCTCCGAAGGGCTTGCTGGTATTTCTCGACTCGGAATGTAGCTATATAACGCTTCTCTTCGAGGAGTTCTAGGTCGGTGTAAGGGCGGCCAGCTTGCACTTCTTCAGAGAACATCGCTACTCGGGGCGAGTTTAATCGAACTTCTGGGAAAAGGACAGCTTCAGCCCCATACACAAGGAAAAATGGCGTTTCACCCGTTGCTCGGTTAGCTGTAGTGCATACTGCCCATAAAACTATGGGGAGTTCTTCGACCCATTTTTTATCATAGGCACTAAGCCTATCAAAAATACGGGTCTTGATCCCTTGCAGAATTATTCCGTTAGCACGCTCTACTTGACCGTTGGTCATCGAGTGGTAGACTGAGGACCGATAATGCTTAATGGCATGTCTTTCACAAAAATTCTCAAATTTTTTGCTGGTAAATTGTGTACCATTATCCGAGAGTATTCGGTGCGGTATGCCAAAATGCATTATAGTGCTCCACAAAAATTTTACTGTATTTTCTTTGGTTATCCGGTCTACTGGCTCGGCTTCAACCCACTTTGTGAAAGTATCGATCGCTACAATCAAAAATCTGTAACCACCCCGAGCTCTTGGAAAAGAACCCCAGATATCGATGCCCCATGTGGCAAATGGCCAAGACATAGGGATCATATTTAACACTTGAGCAGGCTGGTGAATCTGCCATTTAAAAAACTAGCAAGCATCACATGTTCTAACCAACTCAGTGGCGTCTTCGAGCGTTGTAGGCCAGTAAAATCCTTGTCGAAAGGCTTTTCCAACCAACATTCTGTGAGAGGCATGGGACCCATAGATTCCTCCATGGATGTTGTGGAGCAAACTAATGCCCTCGGCCTCTCTGATATACTTGAGACGAACTCCATTTTGCCCTCTTTCTTAGAGGGTACCGTCCACCATTTGATAGCAGAAGAAGCGGCACGAGACCGTTTCTTCCTTAGGAGTGCCGTCCACCATTCGTAGAGGGTACCATCCACCATTCGTGGAGTGGCAGAAGAAGAAGCGGCACGAGACCATTTCTTCCTTAGGAGTGCCTCCGGATTTTTGATGTACTTGTTCGACAGATCGTAACTGGCCATACACTATCATGTTTTCATCCACAACAGGAGAAAACAAGCAAAGTTAACCTGCATAAACAATAGCTACCTTACATGCATATTATCATGAACATGTCTTACTAGATTCTTTAATCAATATGCCTTCCCCGGCAACGGAGCTAGAAATGCTTGTTGGCATTTCTTAGCGTGGCTACTAGGTTTGTATCCCTAGCAACTACGCCAGAAATGTAGGTAGGCAAGACCGAGCGTCGTTACTAAGTTTTTATCCCTAGCAACGATGCCAGAAGTGCCTTGTTGGTATTTCTTAGTGCCATCCCTAATGATTAGCAATGCCACTAAGTAATAGCCTTGATAGTTCCTTAACAATTTTAGATATTTATCTGCAAGTGCACGGAGCTATCATTGTAGTATTTCACCTGAAAGTATTCAAGGTATTATTATTTATATTTTTCCAAAGGAAGGCATTTGATTAAGAGTCTAGTATGGATATAAACTTGAATAACAATGCTTGCAAGTGCACCAATGTTTATAACAGGGGTAAGAACGATGATTTCAAGGTAGTGGACACACACTTGGCATTCCTCTAAGGATAAAATAGAAAAGAAAGACTAAAAGAATAATCTAAGTCAAGCAGTCATTGATCTAGTATAGTCATACAAAGATTAGTTAATGATCATACAAGTTACAAAATTAGTATTAGGGCTAAGTGTGAAGTAGGTCGGGAGGCCACCGAGTACTGGTCTGCCAGCAACCTCATGTGACAATTTAGACTCCTACACCCCAGTCGGACGTGAGGGATTACAAGGGACGGACAGGGCTATCACCACCTGCCGCCTACCCCTCAACCGTGGAAAGGGACAATGCATTCACCTGTCTCTCCATACCCAAACACCATGCTTGCGTATACAGAAACTACCTAAATCCCCCCGGGTCCCCGACCCTACGGATCGACAGGTAAAGGACTTGGGCACACCTGATGGCACGATGAACCGCCACCTCAACTTTGCTCTAACTCCTATTATGTACGTTATATGAATGTTTAAGCATAAAGTTAAGTGTCCTACTCTCATGACACATAAACTATAGACTAGTTCATATATCAAGATTATAACAAAATAACTATACTCTAGTTCATAAGTATGACTATAAATGTAACATGAGAGCATAACTTTGGAAGAACTCATATTTCTATTCATACCCAAAGATCACTTCTTCCAAGGAGCCAAGCTCTCCAAGGTAGCTTTGCCTTGCTCTAAAGCTACTACTAAAAAGGAAAAGCTACAAGAGTGAGCGAGGTGTGTGAGGTGATGCCCAATGTGTTGTGTGTTTAGAGAGGGGGGTACCCCTCTATTTATACAGGAGACTAGGTGGTGCCTGGAGGCTATTCTTAGTGCGTCCCTGGCTCCCACCGCCTTAGCATGGTTCCATGCCACCGCCACAGCAAGGGGTGGCTGAGCAGCGCTGGCAGGGGTCGCCCGACCCCTAGGGGTCGGCCGCCCCCTGACTGAGCCGCCTAGCCACCGCCTTCGCATGGCAGGCCTTGGGCTAGACATGGATCACTCCTCCGTGGGGTTTTGCCCCGGTTGAATTGATTTGGAGGGCGTCTCCCTTGTTCCTTTGCGCAAATCAGCATCGGAATGCGCCTTTCGGTGAATTATTCCATGTATTTGTGTTTGTGACCTACAAAATAATGTTCTCCAAATACATGTGGAACTTGGTTAATAGTAAATGCATATGTGTTTAAGTTTGCTAATTTCTCCTCTTTTTGTCTCTTAATTGGCGGTCGGATTTGATCGATAAAGACCGCCAACATTGATCTTGTAGAGTTCAGCCACCATTTTAGGGTTTTTAGTGGCTAGCTTTTCGGCAGTCTTTTCATCCTTGCAGCCCTGCTTGAAGGCTACGATCACCCGATCTTCAATCATGTCAGGAATCGTATTGCAAATATCGCTGAATCATCGAATAAAATCTCGAAGAGATTCATCGGGTCTCTGGATGCATGCGAACAGATCATCCTCCTAACCGGGACGGGTCTATGTTGCATGGAAGTTGGCTTCCAACATCTGGCACAGATGAGCCTAGGATTGAACGGTACCTTCGGGCAGGTTCATCAACCATGTTTGGGCCGAGCCCTGCAGAACAATCGGGAGGTGATTGGCTTTGACATAATCATCACCGTATGCTGGCCTCGATGATCATAGAGTAGATGCTGATCCACACCTTTGGGTTGGTGGTAACATCATACTTCTCGATCAGGCCAGGTTTAAACTTATGAGGCCAAACAACCCTCCGTAGATTCAGGGCGAATGCGCGGTAGTCAGTTACCGAGACTCAGGGATTGGTGCCATAATGTTGAGCCTGATTTGCATCAAGCGTCGTTCGGGCATCCTGACCTCTTCGGTTCGCATCCAACTCGGGCCTGAGGTCTTGACCACCAAGCGGAGCATTATACCGGTTGTCCACTGATCAGTTAGATCCCTCGGGGCATGGATTCCGACAGTGTGATTGGGATCTGGCCGATTTAGAGGGCGCGGCAGCCTTTGCTTCCAGACGTTGCTTAGCCTGATTGGCTAGGTCTTGTGCCTGATTGATGATGGTC